GATACTGGGCATTTTGGGACACAACAGTGCCCTTTGATTGTGCTGTCATTGTGTTTTTATAAAGTTTAAAAATCGCTCTGAGTGGCCACGGTCAAAGCTCTACCTCAGAGAGAAAGCACAGCGACACCTTTGGGTCAGTCTCACAGCTGAATGTATCAATCTAATTACAAAAAACCGTCACTAAAACCCACCTAAAAGCCATAGGATAGCATAGACAGGAAGTGAACGGGCTGTGCTTTGTTAACAGGAAATGACGTCACACCTCCCCGTGCATATAGCCCATTGAAATTATCCCACTGTGGGACGAAGAAAAGAAATATCTTATCTCGTCAGGCCTTAGGTCCAGTGAAGTTTCAAGTCAAGCAGCTGGACTCATTTTGTTCATAGAAATATTTAAAACATTACATTCATACTCAAATTTAATAAAAAGTTATTTTTAGTAAAAGTACCTTCATGATAAAAAGTCACAAATGCAAATGATGTGCTTTCCTCAAGTGCTTGATTCCCGGTTTCCCATTTTTATTTCTGTGTTAAGTACAAATATTCACTTTCTCTACTTGTAAAAAAAGTGAGAAAGCCGTTTGAAACGTAGCATGTATTATACTCATCAGTCCAGGAGCTTTACTGTGTGTGTAAAGTGAAATAGCGTGTGCAGTTTTAATGGTTTACTTCTACATCTGTTCATATTTTTCACGCACACAAACATATGATAAATATACACCTTTATGCGGCAGTTTCACCAAGACTTGCCCTCATGTGACCCCAGATAAATTGAATTTGAGACCCCTGTTGTACAGAAAGCCACGTTTCAGTCTCTATGTGTTGTGGCCTTGGTAAAGCCATGTGGGCAGTCTGCTTGTCGTGAATGATATACACATTTAGCTAAAATTCAAATAATTACTGGTTAATCGTTGCTGCGTCTATGAAGTTGGAAGTAATCCATATGGCTCATCAAGTATTTCACCTCTGACATTTTAAAAAGGACATGTGCATAAAGAGGGAAAAAGAAACAAAGGTATTTTTTGCATAATGTAACGACACTAATAAACTTTGAAAAACTGTACAGACATCATGCAGGAAGGTAGCTTGTAAGTACCAAAACATAAACATGTTGTTTTTATGGTGATGGATGAGCTAGATAATTTGTAAAACAGTTTAAAAGATTATTTGGCACACCTAGTGTGCCAAATAACCCGAATGGCACTAGTTTACGACAAAGGGCAACTGCATCAAAACTATAAAACATTAAGGTCTGGAACTTTAGACAGTTGTTGACAACAACAAAATGCAATGAAGTATGCCTTTGCAAAGGTCTTTTTCAAATTGAATACTTTAATTTCTAGTGTATATCTATTTAAAGGCTACAGTTTTATAATGATGCATGACACAAATAAGTATTTTAAGCCTAAATGAGGTGGATGGTATGAAGTTAAATTTATAAAAATATAGTTAGTGCAGTCAGTAAATGTTTTTGCTTCCTCTTAAACTCCTACATCTGTTTTGACTCGTGCACAAAAGTTTGGCATACCTCAATGTCTTTGCTTATTTAAAAACACATCTTACATCTCACATGCTTGTGTGATGCATCATTTTAAAGCTAGGCCCTTCTAGTTTATGTAAATATACACTGAAATAATGTATGTCATTCCTATTTCACTCTGCATCCTTTTGAATTTTGGGGGAAAAAACTGTTTTTTTAGCCTCGCCTAAAAAATTCAATGTATAAATGGCCTAAAAAAGCCTACTTCATTGGAAGAAGAACATTTTCAACGCCTATTTGTTCATTGTGTTGTTGACAACAACTGTGTAAAGTTTCAGACTTCTAAGTTTTATAGTTTTTATGCAGTTTCTCTTTTTTATCAAGTAGTGCCATTCGGAACCAATTTGGCAAAATGTGTGCCAAATTGCTTTACTAACATTTCACCATCATAAAAAGCATATTTTATAGTTAGTTACAATTCTGTGATTTTCTTTGACATTTTTTCAAAATTAATTTTTTCAAAATTAATTTTTTAGTAGTGTAAATGCATATAAAACATCCTAAACTTTTCTCTTTACTCTGCTCTTTTTGCTCCCGCTCTGATTGGTTAGAGTCCGGCCGAGCCCCTCTGTGCACGTGCAGGAGGGCCACACACGTGTATTTGGTGCAACGCATCATGGGAGAATATCCACTGCGCAGAACCGGGAGGACCAGATGATGCCCAAATACAGTGGCGCCCATGCTGGCACATGCGCCACTGAGCACAAACCATTCATTTCAATACGCCGCCATCTTGGATCAGCGTGGCGGGTCCTGGCTCGAAAGTGGCCAAAATGTTGTGCGCTGACCATGGATCTATTATAATAACTGGATAGGGTATTACTAGCTTGTAGCTGAAGGACCCATGTGCTCGGGGATTCTCGCGGTACTGCAGACTGAACCAGACTAAATTCACGTGGGCTACCCTGAAATTTTCCCCATAGAACTCAATGTAAATTAAAACAGCTCAACCTCAGCTGACAGAGAACCTACAGCTTTAATAAAGGTCGGATTTTGTGGGGTGTCCCTTGTCATCCTGAACTTTTTTTCTTCTTAAATCCTTCGGTTTTCTTTAAGGGTGTATTCAGACCTGCACATTTGCTCCACTTTAAACGGACCAGGATTCGTTTGGAACTCTGATCCGAAGCTTTTATGCAGGTCTGAATACACACAAACGAATCCTGGTCCGGACCAAATAACCGAACCGAGACCCACTTTTTTAGGTGGTCTCGGTCCGCTTCCAAACGAATTCTGGTCCAAGTCGAATCAGGTCTGAATACATCCGGTGTAGATCCGACACAACTCCAAGATACGTGTGCATTTTTGGGCTTAACAAGCCACAGACAGAAACTGAGGAATTAGCCACGCAGCGGCTAACTATGCTGCTAACTATGCTGCTAACGCTACACAACAACACTGAGCCGTGTGCAGACCTGGAGCAGTGAGGAGACGCTGTGCAACAGACTTATGGAGTTAAAACTGTTCAACAGTTCATTGATGTTAATGGCAGCATCTTCAAATCATTTGCATTATTAAAAGCCTGACACTCGTTGACTCACGTCTCAAAGAGCAATATTCCGCAACATGTAGTGAATTGTGTTCTTTTTTGTGTTCAGGCGCTTTGTGTTGCCCTGTGCAGGAAAAGCGCCCTATAAATAAAGATTGATTGATTGATTTGGTTCCTACCTGATCCTCAGCGTCTGTTTGTCCCGTGGTTATTATAGATCCATGGTTTATCCACAATGCTGAACAGGGCCGTTATTATCATAGATCCATGTGTGGGACAGGGCACGGAGCGCACAGTCTCCTTCGGCTTTCTCCTCACGCATTCTCCGACTGTTCCAATATTTAAAACAACGTGTTTCGCCTGTGTCATATGAGCTGCTGCTGTTGATGTTGAAGGTGGTTTTGCTCTAAAATGAGCAAACTAAGGCAGAGCAGACTGCAGCACATACGAGCCCTCAATGTTTTCTGCCGGTTCCGCGTCTATCCTCCGTGAACTCTTGCTGTCCAATAGGAGCGCCGATCGTCACACGTGTCAATATGTTTATATAAAAAAGTTCACTTGCAAAAAGGACAGTCTGAATACGACCCGGAGCAAAAGAAAAAAGTTTGGTCCGCTTTTGATTCGGATCAAGCAAGCGGAGCAAAGGACTTTTCAGGTCTGAATACACCCTAAATCCACACTTTACTGCCACAAACTCTGCTCCTCTGGCTCTCGCTCTATCTCCCGCTCTGATGAACTGCTCTGATTGGTCAGAGCACAGCCGAGCCCCTCTGTGCACGTGCGTGAGACCCACAGACGCGAGGTTGGCGCAACGCATCATGGGAGATCATCCACTGCACAGAACCGGGAGGACCAGACGATGCCCAAATACAGGCGCGTTTCCCATAGATCTTTGCGAGTTCCAGGCGACTTCCGCTAATCTTTCAGCCCCCATGCCGTCACAAAGCGCCACTGAGCACAACCATTGATTTGAATACAGCGCCATCTTGGATCGCCGGGGCTTGGCACTGACATGCTTTAAATACCACCCCGGGCCGATGGGGGTGGACCCGGAATAAGAATTATTCAATGCTAACGTATAGCATTAGCTGACCTCTCAAAAACGTTTTTACACGATGGTTCAAAAGTCGGCTCTTAGCTCAAAGCTACATTCCAGATGTGTGTCAATGCTGAGGGGAGTGATTTTTTTTTGGACCATTCTAGTTTAGCCACACTGAATTTTATAAATGTCTGCATATTTAATGAGCTGGCCGTCATTTTGTGCCAACGCAAATCATGAAGGATATGCCATCGGTTAGCCGGCTCTCTTCTCATATATATTTTAAGCGATAACACTGCTAACGTGGCTAATGATACCAGCTTCGACAGCACTTCAAGTGGATTCTGCTGCACAAGACACATGATGTAAATCTGATCAAAACAGGCTGCACTGGGAGGGCGCTAGCGAGCGCGATGGAGTAAAGACGCACCTTCCAGAGCTCCTGCTAATTTAGTAAAATTCCAACTTAAAAGACACGCAAGTTACCTCCCTGCACGATAAATCTCTTTCTAAACGTGTTACCTATTGCTACGGTGCCAGATACTCCACGCACGGTGCATTTATGGCCGCAAATCTACGAAAATACAAGTTCAAGGCCTCCTCCAGCACAAAGCCCAGCGCAGCCTCGGTGAAAAGTTTGAGTGACCCAACTCCCTCCGCCCCTGCACCCGCTAGCCAAGCAACAAAAGCTCCAAAGGCTAGCTCTAGCATCATGGACCCAGAAACAATCAAAGCGGACATCCTAGCCTCACTACGCCAAGACTTCTCAGCGATTATCAAAGGTGAAATGAGAGAATGCACTCCGTGACAACTTTGAATCACTTAAAACGCAGATTGAAGACGTAAAAACGGAGATTAAGAACACCGCAGCTCTCCGGGCGGAGGTAGACCAGGTAAAAGCTAACGTGAGATCAGTAGAAGACCACATGTCCACCATGTCTGACGAGATGATACAAGCACAGGGTCAAGTGTCTGATCTCCAAGCAGAAGTAAAGAGGCTTAAGGAGAAATGTGAAGACATGGAGGGGCGCATGCGGAGGGGAAATATCAGAGTGTCGGGGGTGAGTGAGGCGCAGGGCTCCAGTACACCAGAGGCGGTCTCCTCTCTCTTGAAAGAAGTATTTCGACTTGACAGAGAGGTGCGTGTGGAGCGCTCTCATCGCATCGGACCGGTGAGTAATGCTGGGGACAGACCACGCGTCATCATTGCCAGGCTCAACAGCGAGGGGGACGCCGAGGACATCCTGAGGAGAGCGCGCAGCGGAGGTGGTCAGCTCCGGTACAGAGGCAGCCCTATCACCGTCTTCCCCAACTACACAACCAACGTTGTCCAGGCGCGGGCAGCCTTCACTGAAGTCAGAAGGATGCTCCGTGATAAGCCGGGAGTCCGGTACGGAATCCTCTTTCCTGCTAGGCTCCGGGTCACACACAACAACGTGGAGAAGGAGTTCGTAGATGCAACTAAAGCCATGGACTATGTCAAGAAAATCATTCTTTTTCCCCGAGAGGACGGCGAACAGAGACTGAACTGACATAAACGAGGAGGTAAAGTTTTGTGAGTACTTAATATAACAAAGTGTCTATTATTTCCAAGTAAAGCAGAGCCTGGTTTTCATTTTTTCTGTCTTATTTTTGTGCACTCACACTGTTAGTTGTGTAGTGGGACTGCTCGCAAGGCCTATACCCTGAACTGCTTGTAAGTTCACCTTTGATGGCAATATCAAAATGTAGGACTTCTGCGCTCAGGGACTTATTACAAGTTTACAGCTTTTTTGTTCCTGTTTGGATCCCAATGTTCCCCAGGGATCGATTGATAGGTTTCAAATCACAAGAATCCTTTTTGGCAATCAATGTTTATTATTTATTTGCTTTGTTATGCTATGCAAAAATATCAAAACAGTTTAGAGAAATGCATCTCTTCGTATATACTAAGGTAAAACTCTCTCAACCATACGCTCAAAAAATCAATAATGAACTCTCTCAAGGTCATTAGTTACAACGTTAAAGGACTCAACGGGCCAATTAAGAGAAAAAAAATTCTTGGCAAACTCAAAAAAGAGGGTTGTCACATTGCATATCTACAGGAGACACACCTTTCTGATGGTGAGCATGACAAGCTTAAGAGATCATGGGCAGATAAGGTGTTTTATTCTTCCCACTGCTCAGGTAGAAGGAGAGGAGTGGCTATCTTAGTACATAAACAGGTGAATTTTACCCCTCAATATATTCACAAAGGCCCTGAGGGTAGATATATCATGGTAAATGGAGAAATTGATGGTGTGCAGGTCTCACTTTTTAATATCTACGCTCCAAATGAGGATGAAGCCAAATTCATACAAAATATCTTTGACATACTGCTGCAAAAGAGTGTCGGTGTCTTATTACTCGCTGGTGATTTTAATTGTACGATTTCGCCCTACATGGACCGTCAGCCCAGTTCCAAAAGCCCTGCTTCTCAAATGAGCAAAGTACTGAAACGTCTCACCACAGAACTGGGCCTGATCGATGTTTGGAGAAATCGGTTTCCAAGGGTCAGAGACTTCACCTTCACATAGGCACTCCTCTTATTCAAGAATAGACATGTTTTTCACTCCAAAAGCTGAAGAACACCGAATCGAGGACATCAACATCTTACCAATTACATTGTCCGATCATGCCCCTCTGGTTTTAAAATGGGATGTGTGTCAAACACCAAAAGTTAAACACTGGAGATTGAATGCTTCACTCCTTAAGGATAAGGAATTTTGTAATTTTATTACTAGTGAATTAGACATTTATTTAGAATTAAATTCCACCCCCGAGATATCACCTCTTATTTTATGGGATTGTGCTAAGGCCTATCTTAGAGGCCGTATAATATCATTTGCTTGTGCCAAGAAAAAGAAAAATGAGGCTAGACGGCGAGAGCTAGAGGGTAAGATAACAAACCTAGAGCAAAAACATAAAAGAATCCAAATCCCAATTCTACTCAGTGAACTCAAATCACTGCGGAAGGAACTTGACAGTCTGATTACAGAAAAAATAGAGGGTAACTTGAGATTCACTAAACAAAAGTACTACGAAAATGGAAATAAGGCCAGTAGATTGCTAGCACTGAGACTTAAAAAGCAGCAATCTGCTAATACGGTTCAAAAATTGAACAATATACAACAATCACTAAACCTGACAAAATTGCAAACTCTTTTGCAGAGTATTACAAATCTCTGTATAAAAATACAGATACTTGCCAAGATGACCACGTACTGTCCGAATTCCTAAAAAACATAAAATTAAAGACACTTACAGAATCCACAGCAAAACAGTTAGATGAACCAATCAAAGAACTGGAAATTCAACAAACAATCTCTAACCTGAAGAGTTTTAAGAGTGCTGGTCCTGACGGTTACATCAATGAATTTTATAAAAAATTTAGAGAAAAATTGACCCCATTATTACTCCAAGCTTATCATTATGCCCTGCGGACCGAATCCATGGCGCCTTCCTGGAATGATGCTGCTACCATCGTTGTCATTCATAAAGAGGGCAAAGATCCAACAAATTGCATGTCATATCGACCAATCTCATTGCTCAACACAGATTTACGTATCCTCACGGCAGTCTTGGCCAAACGGGTTGGTAAAATTATCACAAATATTATAAACCCAGACCAGACGGGGTTCATAACCGGAAGGCACTATGGGGACAACGTTCGTAGACTTCTAAATTTAATTTCTATTTCTAAAACCCAACAAAACGAAGCAATGATTCTCTCTCTCGATGCCCAAAAGGCATTTGATCGGGTGTCCTGGCAATATTTAAATCACACATTACAAACATTTAATTTCGGCCCAAACTTCATTAAATGGATCCAAATTTTATATTCTAACCCTTCAGCCAGTGTAAAGGTCAATGGAACAATATCAAACAGATTCCCACTAGAACGCGGCTGCAGGAAAGGATGCTCATTATCACCCCTGCTGTTTGATCTAAGTATTGAACCTCTAGCACAGCTAATCAGAGATGACGTAAACATTACAGGATTCTTAATAAATGGTGAACATCACAAACTGTCCATATATGCCGATGACGTATTACTATACATCTCAAATCCAACGACAACCATCCCTCATCTAATGAAAATAATCCGCTCCTATGGCTACCTCTCTGGGTATAAAGTCAATATTGATAAAACGGTAGCAATAGACATAGTGGGAAACATATCAAAACATTTCAAAGATCAGAGTGGTTTTAAATGGCCAAAGGAAGGTATGAAGTATTTAGGTATTCAAATCCCACTCTCTTTAACAGAATTATACAAGGTAAACTACAGGGTTTTAATTGGGAGGATTAAAAAAGACTTGGAGAGGTGGACGGTCCTGCCTCTTTCTTTCATGGGGCGCATAGAGAGTATACGTATGAACATTTTACCCAGACTATTATACCTCTTCCAAATGCTGCCTATAAATATTCCCAATTCTACATTTGATGAACTGGATAAACTCTTCTCCAAATTTATATGGCAGGGTAAACGCCCTAGAATTAAATTGCAAACATTAAAATTGCCAAAGTCACAAGGTGGAGTTGCACTACCCAATCTCAAGCATTACTTTTGGGCAGCTCAAATGAGACCCTTGGTTGTCTGGATGCAGGACCTGTCTTACACTCAATGGCTTAATATTGAAAAGAGTTTGTGTAATACGCCTATTAACAATTTGCCTTTCCGTAATGTCTCACTGAAGGAAGTACAAATGTGCGAGTGGACTAAGGCCACATTTAAGATCTGGAATAAAATTAAGCAGTCATATGGTCTTCCAAGAGAAATTTCAGTCCTCTCAGATATCTCCAGCCTCCAGGGATTTGCCCCATGTCTAATCGATGCTAGCTTTAAAATGTGGTCAACTTTTGGTCTTGTTAAGGTGAGCCAGCTGGTGGGCAGCGGTTGCCTGAAATCTTTTGAGCAGCTCAGGAGTCAATTTCAGCTTCCCTCTTCAGATTTCTTTCGATATCTACAGTTAAGGAGTTTTTTGACCAAACACAGAGAATGGAACAAAGTCCTACATCCCTCAGTTATTGAAGAACTTATACTAAAAATATATCAGGGAAATTGCTCTCCAAAAACGTTAAGTCTTTTTTATAAAGCACTCTCAAATTTGAATTTCAATAATACTTCATACTAAAGCAAGATGGGAGGCTGAGATTTGCACTCAAATGACAGATGAGATGTGGGAAAATATTTGCATTGAATCGCACCTAGTCACAAATTCTGGATTATGGAGAGAATTTAAATGGAAAATAATCACAAGATTTTTTAGGACACCAGAAAACACATCCAAAATGAATCCTTCTAATCCTGACACCTGCTGGTGCAATTGTGGTACTCACACCCACATATTTTGGACATGCCCAATGGTGAATTTGTTTTGGAATGATATATTTACCACACTCAATACAATATTTCAGCAACCGCTTATAAAAGAACCACAGCTTGCCATCTTGGGGGCGGTCCCGGATGGCTTTGGAGGAAATAGCAGAAAATATCTTTTGAGAATTTTACTGACTGCTGCACTTAAGTGTATTACTATCAAATGGTTGAGTCCAGAACCACCTACTTATACTATTTGGATTGAGAAAGTAAGAGAGATATATCACATGGAGGAGATCACATACTCCCTAAGATTGCAGAGAGAACTTTTCATGAAGAGATGGAGGCCCGCTGTGGGCTTATTTGTTGCATAGCTTTGTTTGTGTTTTTGTGTTCTTATTTTTGCTTAATTTCCATTGTATATGACTGACATACTTTACATGTGCATTGGTGAATTTCTGCGAAATTTAAATGGTATGCATTTCCATTGCCTATGTTTGTAACATTTAAAAAACTCAATAAAAATAAAGTGAAAAAAAAAAAACAGGCTGCACTGAACCATGCACTCGAGGGGAAAGGTGACAAATAAATATTGTTTTGGGATATCTCCTATCGTTACACAATTGTTGTCTCTACTGTCTCTAATTATATTATATATATATTAAATAATATACAGTGCCTTGCGAAAGTATTTGGCCCCATTGAACCTTTCAACATTTCGCCACATTTCAGGCTTCAAACAAAGATATACATTTTTTATTTTTTGTCATGAATCAACAAGTGGGACACAATTGTGAAGTGGAACGAAATTTATTGGATGATTTAAACTTTTTTAACAAATAAAAAACTGAAAAGTGGGGCGTGCAATATTATTCGGCCCCTTTACTTTCAGTGCAGCAAACTCAGTCCAGAAGTTCAGTGAGGATCTTTGAATGATCCAATGTTGTCCTAAATGACTGATGATGATAAATAGAATGCACCTGTGTGTAATCAAGTCTCAGTATAAATGCACCTGCTCTTTGATAGTCTCAGGGTTCTGTTTAAAGCGCAGAGAGAACCATGAAGACAAAGGAACACACCAGGCAGGTCCGAGATACTGTTGTGGAGAAGTTTAAAGCCGGATTTGGATACAAAAGATTTCCCAAGCTTTAAACATCTCAAGGAGCACTGTGCAAGCAATTATATTGAAAT